TTTAATTAAAATAAAATAAATAATTAGAATTAAAATTTTATTTAAAAAATTAATATTATAAAAAATTATAAAAAATAATTAAGTTCGATCTAAAATGTATATTATGTCATATATATATATATATATAATCAGTAATTAATATCTATAAAAAAAGAACACATTTTCATTGATTAAGTCTAAATAATTTCGTATTAAAAGAAATGCAACTATATCAGGAATTGCATACATAATTTTTACTTCTATAATTCTTTAATTAAAGAAATTAAATCATTTCACAATAGAAACACAAGCTACTTGGTCAAATTAATCAATTGGTTGCGAAGTTTATGATTCACAGATGGTGGGATTTAACTGAGCGCTTAGTCTAACTAATTAAATATCCGCATTGCTATCATAGCCAATAAGCTCGCCTTGCCAAGTGAGCATTTCCAGCGTAATCATCCATATTAAGCACACATATTGTTTCTCACCGCATAGTTTCAACTAGCGTGTTCAACTTCTTCTAGATTCGAGTCCCATTCAATATTTGCCTAGCATCCCGGGCTATATTCCCGTTTATATAAGATACGGAGATGAACCGTTGGAGGGAATAAATCCCGAATTGGCTGAAGCTTTCGGAGAGACATCAAATTCGATCAAGGTATCAATATTCCGTTAATGCCTTTAAATGCGAAAAATACATACGAAAATAATTGCAACTTATTATAAGAGAAGCATATCAGTTTATCTTTAAAGTAATCACAAGTGCCGCGTAAATTGAGATACAATTTACTACAGGGATGTTAATCTTATACCATACGATAGAGTTTGCAGAAGATAGATCACACACTCGCTCATGACAATTTCAAAGACGACGGCATAGACATACTTTTGGAAGAATCAAAAAAGGAACATGATTATCCGTTGCATGTTCGAGCAGCGGAAAGTCGTTCATTCGCCACTGCCAACGATAACCAGTCAGGGGACTCTAACAAACCAAAGCTTCTAACCATTTATACACTACCTGATGATAATGAAAGTAGGCCACGTAGACGTTATCGAGGAAGATCTAGGCAAAAGAGTTCTAGAAAACGACCCGAATTTAAGGTAGAAATATACAAATAGTCAATAATTAATCATAATCGAAGTTAATCAAATCCATTTGTTTAAACAATATCTTTATTTTAGACCGTATGTGAGAAACACAATCAATACTAGAAATTTAAAAATCCATTTGTTTAGATAAAGTTTTTAAACAAAATTGCAAAAAAATACCACAAAACGGTTAATTTGCATTAGTTTCGGAGAAATTTTAGAATAATACGCAAGAGTGACTCAACATCGGTGATTCAATGAGCATTTATCATCCTATAATACCTTTTATCATTAAAAATAAAGATTGCTTCATGTGAATTGTATCCGCGGCAAATAGCATTTAATTCCAAGGAAAAGAATTACTAATTTGAATATAACGCATTTTCAATTTCCGTACATCTATCTTGTTTGACGTTTACATATAATCTAAAAGAAAAATCTCTTTGAATTATATGATGTTGTTTGTCGCTTCATCGATATGCAGCGACGCATTTAAAGATCCTATCATCAAGAATGATGATTGAGCTTTATAAGCCGGTATTAGAATGTAAATGAATAAACATCTTGGACTTATTTTTAACGCAACAATTAAAAAACGCTTCTCGTCAGGGTCAATTGATTTCTTTATTCAAATCTTTTAATTAATATATATAAAGCTCAATACAAATAGGATTTTTAGATGTATGTCCATAAAACGACAAGAAATGTTCAAAATTATGTATACTTGTTATTTGTAAAATAATAAATTTGTAAAATGTTCTATAGGTTAACCCACTCTCTGACGAGGAAACAGAAGAGTTGAAAAAACTGGCGATCGAGGTGGAAAAAGAAGAGACCAAACCGAATGAACTCTACGCTCCAAGTCCCAGACATTCTGGATCGTCCAAGAATACACACAATCAACATAGAACGTACAATTTTATCGCGCCAATGAAAGTGCAAGTTCCATTCGATGAAACCTTGGCAGATGTGCCAAAAATTTCTCAAAACGGTGACTTTTCACAATTGGGTTACGATATTGTTACACCCGCAGCGGAGGAAGAGGAACTGCCAATTAAAGGGCAAGGTCCAGCTACAATTTGGTCTAATGTAAATAAATTATTGCCTATTGATTTGCCAAACGAAAATGAAGCCAATAAAGATTTTACATCTAAAATTGAAAAAATTCAAGAGAAACCACTCGATGTGAAGATAGATCTGCTAGAAGTACCTCAAGATACAGATTGTTCGAAATCTTTGAATGAATACAATGTCGCTACAATTGATAAAAAGGAACCGCCTTTTAAAATACTAAATCCAACAAAAATTTTGTCAAATGTAGATAAAATCTCACCCATCAATTTTCCAAATCAAAATGAAATGAAAGACTTCACACAGCCTACCGACGAAAATGCAATGGATTAGATGTTTAAAACTTTTTAAGCTCAATTCTTTTATAATTTATTTGTTGCAATAATATCGGATATTCTTAATCATTTACATATTTTTCCAATCGTAGATTCTTCAAAGAAATCTCAGGATAAAATATTTCTTGTACAAAGTTCACGAATTTTCGATATTTAAGAATTAAAATAATTTTTTTAAAAAAACTATTTCGCAAAATAATTTTACACTTTAATTAAACCTATTATAAAATTCATTACAAGGAAATAATTTTGTCGTATCTATGTATCTATTTGTAATCGAAGAAAAGTGTAACTGATTGTAGATATCCTGTATGCTATAAAATGATAAGCGTCAAGCATAAGCTACTTGCATGAAAGAGAAACGTTTTTATAATTTTAGTTTGTATTATTTATGATAAAAACTTCTTTATGCTATCATAAATACTTCATTACACTATGGATGTTACAGACTTTTAAATAGCTGTTACTGCTTCCGAGTTTGTAAAATTTGTTTGTGCACATTGTAAATTATGTTAATGACAAAACTATTGTGTATTTTAAAATGTCTTTAATAAAATTGCTGTTGCAGAATTATTCACAATAGTGAATAAAAAAATATATATATTGAATTTTCCTCTTATATTCACTATATTCACCTACTATTTGTGTAAATATACAATTAAACAATACAAGCGTATATAAATAATATCGCAAGTAATATTAATTAAAACTAGATAAATCATCGAGAAAGTAATATGCTATAATCAAATTTTATGCGATACAAAATATATACGATAATTTCGTTACAATCTCTACATACCTTACTTTAGGCTACGTCCACTTAATGCTACGAAAGCTTCGAAGCATTTTTTGATTGGTCAGTTAATAACATTTTTGGTCAATCAAAAGTTTCGAAGCATTTGTAGCGTCAAGTGGACCGCACCCCTAATTCGTCTATTTAACTAAATATTAATTTTATATTGCTACCACATTCACTCAATATTTTTATTGTCAACTGTCTGTTGCTCACGTATTAAAACAATGCTTTATTGATTACGTATATCGTAGTTCTCATGCCCGATTTTTAAAATTAAAATAGCCAGAATATTGAGTCGATTACTTGCAAGAATGATAGGGTCATTTAATTTACGAAGAGTATCGCCGTCGATGTTAACAAGCGAACTACTCTTACGATGTTGGAAAAATCTCTTACTCGAAAAAATAAACATTTTGTCCCCAGATGTACACGCATATGAAAGAATATTCTCCTTCATCCTCGATATATAAACGTCCTGTATAGCTCGACAGTGAAATTTTTCTTTCCAATTCCATTGCTTGATGAATTGTCAAAAATTTCACTGGAAGAATTAATATCCTTTTTGTAGAAATTCTGTTTCGTAACTAAGCAGATTTATTTTGCGTGGCATTATAAACGTTTGCCATTATAAACGTCTGACTGAAGCGAGATTCTCTTTAAATGATCGAACCTTAGCAATCTTTGATAAAGCATCGATCAAATAATCCATTCTCCTTGAAAAAAAGTTTCCATCGACGCTCCAAAATCATCAAATTTAAATAACGAATTAGGTCCTCGTTTGGAAGATTAACATCTTTCGCATCAGCATCTGTTTCTTTATCTTCCGCATCAATACTACACACAGGTGACCGATCGTTATTTATCGGAATAAAATCCGCCAACAACAGGAAAATCGTTAACCAGCTTATTGACATTGTTCTACTAATTGTAAGCTAACGGGATTTTCTTTGAGTGCGGCACGTGTGAATTAGTCCTCCTCACTAGAAAGTGGCGCGAACAAGCACGCATCCGCGACGATTGCGGCTGTGTCGCGGAAGATACTGACGGAAAAAATTAAGCTCGCATGAACGCACGAACGAACGAGGTTGCCGGAGAACGACAAATTGGACTGTTATGTTCCACACCTTAACTCCCTGTGCATTGACCCTATCTCCTCTTCGAACGTCGCTTCCCACGAAATCTTTTTTGTGCGAAAATATCAGAACGTAGATTCAAGGAAATTATTAGTTTATATTATAGCTCTTGATAATTATCGTTTATTAAGCAAAAAAATTATTCGTTAATTTTACAAGAATTGCACGGGAAGAAAAAATTCGCAATGACCGCTAAATCCTATGCATCACTCGGAATCTCTAAGCCCCGTTTTCACAATATATAGTTATTTAATAGATTAAAGGTTAGCAGGAAATTCACGAATGAATTTCATTGATGAATTTCTTGATAACCTTTAATCTTTAGATAACCACATATTTTGAAAACGAGCGTGCCATAAGCGTAGTGTTTCCTATATACTTTGCAAAACAGAACGAAATATTGCCATATTTATATGTTCAGACTCTTACCAGAGAGAAACCTGGGGTGAGTTCCAAAACTTGACTCTGTCAACTCCGAGTATCTTTTATCTTTATTCAACATTCGGTGACCAACAAGGATAAAATAATACTCGAGTTGACAGAGTTGAATTTTGGAACGCAACCCCTGAGAGTGGACATCCCGGCATTTTTCATGTACCAAACTTCGTAGGGTATGTCCACGTTTTTGTGGTTTTTTTCTATTACGTGGATTAGATAAAGACAAATAATCAACTTTGATCGTTCGTCCTTGTTTAACTCACGTAATAGTATAGAAAAGAACCACAAAAACGTGGACATTACCCTACGAGGTTTGATACATGAAAAAGGCCGGGATGTCTACTTTCAGGTTTATCTCTCTGCTCTTTTACCAAAGAATAAATCTCTAGATAGAGCAGATACAGAAATACACTTTATCAGTAGTAGGTATTGTTGCACGATACGTCGCGTCGATGAAATATCGACATATTATCATGCATTTATAAATACAGGACACGTACGTCTTATCAGTTTATATCGCATTGCCGAATCGTTTGTTGCTTGCAAATGGAAAAAGTACAAAGTGCATACAAGTGCGATGATAAAAATAACTAACTGTATTGCTTGTGTAGCGTGAATACACTGAGCGATGCATTCAACTGATTCAACAATTTCCTCACGTGACAAAAGGAGACGCGTTTGTTTGACGGCTTTTCATACGCGTGTATCGAAGAGAAAGACTTCCACATGATTTTCTTGTAAATAACGTGATATCGCTTGTCGAATTAGCAATATTAATCAGGTAATTCAACGATATTAAAAATTCGAAAAATTCGATATCAATTTGATAATTAATTAGACAGCATGACAGATTTTCTTTTATTTTTCATATAAATTATTTTGTAGTGTGGAATTAATAAAATTAATTGCAAAGTTTTCTTAGTAAAAATAATGTTTGCAAGTTAAATTTACACCCGGCGGGCACATGCAACGTGATATAACCTCAAAATGATAGATATTGGTTGACCGTTAATTTTTGTGATAATTGAGTATGTTGATTCCTGTTATAGTGGATTTATTAATCAATCGACAAGTACTATTTATAAATAAGACAGCACACATGGCTGGACAACAACATCCTTTTCTATCTGGGTTCAGTGTGCAGCAGCCAGCTATGCGCGCACAGTTTGGTGGCGGACAAATGGTTCCTGGTTTGATGCCACAGCAACCAAGTACGTACTTGAAGAATTCCTTTCCTATTTGTAACGTTTTCATTCGTATGTCAATATGTGTATCTAATTATATTGCTGTATGTAATTTGTAAATAATAGGAGATGGATATATGTCTATTTTTATGTCTGTTTACTTTTGATTGATAGTACTGTCTACTTATATCTCAATGTTATGTAAAAAATTAGTTTATAAATTAGAATATTATGACTTCATCTTCAAAGTTAGAATCTTACGCATTTTAACTCATTATCTCCGAGCAAAATTTTTTAATAATTTCAAGTAATTTCAAATCGCAAATTAGATTTTTCAGACATTAAGTACATATACAATATTAAGTATATATCAATTTTTTTAACTATTATAAAAATAATAGATTATTTTTTATGAATTCTAATTCGTTTAAAAGCTACATTTTAAAAAATAAAGACTAAAATATAAGGGAAAAGTAAAACAGATTGATTGATTAAAGGATTGACATCTATAGAAATATTTGTGAATCTAATGTCTATAACATTTTGAGAACAAATTATAAACTAGAAATCAATTAGTAACTATTGTTTTTTAGACATAGTCAGCTCTCAACAATTTAGCATGGTTAGTACTGTTGGATCTAATACCATGGGAATGCCCAATTCCCAACAAACCTTGGCACAACAGCAACAACAACAGTCTATAGCAATGCAACAACAAATGCAGCAGATGCAGCAGCAACAATTACAATTGCAGCAGCAGCAACAGGCTGCGATGGTTCAACAGAATAATCAAACGAATAATCAAGCCACAACACCACAGACTCCAATACCACCTACACAACCACCGCCGCGACAACAGCAAACTAAGGAATTCAATACTGCTAGTTTATGTAGATTTGGACAAGAATCTGTACAGGAAATCGTCAGTCGTACTTTAGAGCTTTTTCAAACTCTCAAAGTCCTTCAACCACCCAATGGTTATTTTTCTAACTAAACAATTACAGTATCATCAAATAACATCTTTTTGTACATACATTATTTTTGAATGTAGGTACTGCACAAGGAGCGAATATGGCGAATGAGAAAAAGAAAAAAGTCTATGAACAATTGGAAATGATTAAAATAATGTTTAAACGTCTAAGATTAATATATGAAAAATGTAACGAGAATTGTCAACTGCAAGGAATGGAATATACGCATATAGAAAGTTTAATTCCGTTAAAAGAGGAATGGGATATGAAATCTGATGAAAAAAAGACTTCGGAAGCTTACAGACTTAGTTGTGAGGAAAGGAAGGAAATTATGGAGGTGAGGCAAGAATAAGATTATATTATCTACATTAATACATAATTTTTATATTAAATGTCGATAAGAAATGGAGCTTATTTCTTTTTCAGCAAGTGATATTAAAGAATAGGCACATTAAAGAAATAATCGATCACCTAAGACGCATTATTTCGGAAATAAACACAATGTTAAATATGCGTCGATC